CGTCGATGCTGCGGGGATTGGCGCACCTTCATGGGCTCGGGCTGGTCCATGGACGGCTGTGTCCCGAGAACGTGATGGTTGGCGTGGAGGGGCGGTGCCGACTGAAGGGGATGCTGTTAGGTGCCGCGCCGCTGGTGATGCATCACGAGTCGTACTATATGAGCCCCGAGGTGGCCGCCGGTGGTGCGAAGACGGCAGCGAGCGACATGTACGCGCTGGGGCTGCTGCTGCTCGCAATGCTGGCAGACTCCCACCCCTGGCAGTGGAGTGCGACTGCGACGCCGGATCGCTCTCGGAAGGAACTTGACTCGCTGCTTGCAGACAGTGCGGTGTTCCGCGAGGCGTTGCGCGATGGGCTGGTGGAGCCGGTGCCGCCCCCCGCAGACGTCGAAGACACGCTGCGAGCTGTGCTAGAGGCGTGTCTCCGCTTCACTCCAGAGGAACGCTCTGGTGCTTCTGAGATTGTGTTTTCATGTAACATGTAAATGTGACGTGCAGTGTACGTTAGGGAAGAGTGGAATGGTTTAGCAATGAACCTGTGTCGTTTTTTGTCATCTTTTATGTAGTTTTGTGTAGCCAGTGCTGCTCCCTCTGGTTTGTTGGGGTTTCTATGTCTTTATTTAGTAACCCTGTCTTTTGATGAATTGCAGTTTTTGAGCGCGGTGGCATTGTGGGTGCCGCAATATTCTTCTTTTTTTAAATCCTATCTTTACGCTATACACGGATGCTTGCTACTAACCGCCATCATTTTATTTTCCCTTGGCGGCTTGCAGGGCCACACACCACCCCTCTCTATTCCCCTCACTGTGTGCACCTGTACGTGACGATCACCTTGCTGCGTCAGTAACGACGCTACTGATGGGACGCCGAGGGCGTGTGCAGTCCGCGTTGCCGGCCTCCCCAATCGTCAGGAACTATGTCCGCGGATTGTACTGACTGTGTGCTGCTGTCCTTAGCAGTCTTACTTTTTCTTTATCTCTCTACTTGTTGCGCCACAACCCATCGTAGAGCAGCCACACCACTTAGGCATCAGCGGTACCAACATTCCGCGCACTGTGATGTCTCTCACTGAGGGCGACGGCTTGCCGAGCAACCCTGCCTCTCTGCTTGGTCATAGGGGCTGGCAGGCACCAGAGCCTGATGGGCACGTAAAGCAAAGCCAGGAGGGGAGAGGGAGGGAAACTGCAGATTCATCTCACAAGCAGCAGTCGTCCGGCGTGGCAGAAACGTTGAATGCTTCCGAGGCACTGCGAAACCCGCATAGGGACAGTGACTCTGGGGGAAGCGGTGCCGATGTGTTCCCGTCCTGCGAGTCCCAGGCAGGTAAGGGGTCCTTGACACTGGCTGGTACAGGCCGAGTGTCTGCAGGCGGCAACGTCCCTGGGCTACAGAGGGCAGAGGGAAGGGCAACGCACAAACGACCGTGTACGACCACACGATGGGGTGCTCCTTTCAGAGCCCTTGCTCACGACAGTGATTCCTCTTGCCTTGGGGCAGAAAATGTGGCTGGTCCCTCAGACGACGCTAACACAGACGGTGAGGGTCCTAACGACAGTCTCCCGCGTGGGAGCGCGTCTGCAGTCGTTTGTGATGAGTGGAGTTCATCCGACAATGTTGTTGCGAATGAGACAGAGGTGTTAGCTGAGCCCGAGAACACCAGCCGGAACGCCAAGCCACATAGAATGTCTGGGAGCTGTGTGGCCCCAGTGTCACGTGCTTGTGGTTCCCTTTTTGCCACAGATTCCCCACCTCGTCAGGTACCACAGCTCTCCTCATGGCGTAGCACATTCACTTTCTCGCTTCGCTGCTGGGCGCTGTGCCCCCTCGTGGTGATGTTGGTGCTAATTGCCGCCATTACGATGGCGCTGGCGTTTTCAACGTCGAGAAGCAGCTCACAAAGTGCCTTCTCGTCACTGCACGAGGTGGTGGTCGCCAACATGGAGGAGTCCGTTGGTCGCCTGACGATCTCCAAGATGGCACGCATGGCGCTGGCGACAGGAAGCATGTACTTTTCTGGAAATACCTTTCCCAACCCTCGGACCGACATTCTGATGCCTCTGGAAAATGGCATGATGTCGCGCCTGTGTGCCGTGCTTCGCGACATGGATCCAGCTAAGACAGTCGCTTCTCTGGGCGCTGTTTCATTGACGAGGCAGCAGGCCGCCGTATGTATTAATTCTCGCTCACACTCCGACAGATTTGTTGGCACCGTGAGCCAGAATGGTGCTATTGACGGCTTCTACTACATTGACCCCGTGACACTGGAGTACAGCATCCCGCCGGAGCCCCTGGGAAAATTCACGGTCCCTATTAGCATCGATGTGTTCACCGTGAGTCAGCGCTTCTGGACTGTGATTAAGATATGGATCGATGCGGTGCAAAAAGGTGAGGAAATGCTTCCAGAGAAGTACTGGGTGAAGCCGCGCCACCCGCCGACGTACGTTGCGTTTGTATACCCATTCTTTGAGGCGTATAACGACAACACCATAGGTGTTGGCTACATGTATGCAACGATGTTCACGGATAACCTCACAAGCATTCAGTGGTACGCCGCGGCTGAAAGTGGCATACGTGTGATGCTGGTGGACCCCAATGTCACGGCGAAGCAGCTTCTGGTTCTTGCAAACAGTTGGGGTCAACCGCTTTCCAACGTCACAAACCCATGGTGGGCAGTGGTAACAGGTAGCCCGGTGAGATTTATGAATGTTGACGACGTGGGGGATCTGATAATGCGGGAGGCACTCAAGCATGTGGATCTTCACGCAGTCATTGCCAGTGGTCGTGAGCAGAGTGCCTTCTTTCCGTACGGCGGCTTCGACGGATGCGTCACTGCGAAGAACATTCTCACTGACAGTGGTGTGGAGTTTCTTCTTGTGGTGGTCACTACTCGCAGCTACTACTTGGGGCCTGTGTTTGTGCACAGAAACATTGCAATCGCGGCGGGTGTTGTTGTTCTCCTGCTGGTGACGGCGGCCTGCATTGCGTTTGTGGAGTGCTGCCTGCTGCACCCGCTCCGCGCCACGCGGGCGGGGCTGAAGCTTGAGCTGGGTGGCGCGCCGATGGGCGCTAGGAGTCGTCGCCGCGCTGTGCTCCGCGAGGTGCAGGAGCTGGAGGATGTGTGCAACACGCTGCGTTGCCGTCTCGATGAGGTCCGGTCTTACATGCCGGACCGTTTCAATGCCAAGTTTGCGGTCGCCGGCCCCAGCGGTGCGTTGCGAAGTGAGTCTGAGTGTGATGGCGGCATCGTGGGTGAGTCGGCAAATGGCGCAATGGGTCGCGTGGCGTGCAGCGTCGCCTACGTGTACTACACTTCCCGCGTTGTCCGCAACCCCACGAACGCTGTTGTGGAGCTGATAATGCGGGCGGTGGTGGGGATTGCCACGGAGTGCGGTGGATGCTTTGAGGTGCAGCGTCCCGACTACTGTGTGATTAGCTTTGGCGTGCAGTCGAGGGAAAAGGATTTTTTGGCTGAGGCCTCGGACGCAGTGGAGTTTGCTCGGCGACTGCGCAGGGAGCTGATGGCGTGTGCAGAACTCTCTGGCCTGTACCGCGTGGTGGTGGAGTCCGGTGTGTTTCTCAGCGGCATCGTTAGTGGGGGCGGTCGCAGCCACTTTGTGCTGCTCTGCCGTCACCTCCACCACCGGGTCGGCGTGTTCCTGCCGTATGCGGGTGTTGTGGCCGCCGTCACGGGGGAGACCGCGCTGCTTGTGCGTGGGCGCTTCCGGCTCTTGCCCTTCGAGACGGTGTACCTCGACGACACGGCCGCGACGTGCGTGAAGCTGCACGAGGTGCTTGACGGCGTTGCGGGCACAGCGGCGTGGCAGGACTACGATCACTGCTACAGTAAGGCGTACGACATGATGGAGCGCGGCGAGTACGGTTTGGCGATGCAGTGGTGGGAGAAGGCGGGAGCCGTGGAGCAGTCCAAACTTGCGGGGGAGCCGCTGCCGTGCAGGTCGTCGCAGGTCGAGCGTCTCAGGACCGAGTGCGTTGCGCATGTGGCGCGGGGCGACGCGACACCGTTTGTGCGGCGACCACGCCCGGCAAATAGCGAGCGTGACGACGTGTTTCCCAGCGACGCTTTCTCGACTGCTACCGGCAAGGACACCATCAGCGGGAGGATGGCCAGTTTGACAGGCTCTTTCCGTGGTGACGCGGCGCTGACTGCGCCAGGAAGTGGCACAGTCAGTTTGGAGGTGGCTGCCGGGTGCCTGCCACGTCAATTCACGGACCACCTGGGGGGCGTCTGGAGGCGCGCCTTGAATCCGATTGAGGACGCTGCCACGGATGCCACTCCTGTGTACATGGGCATCTCCGCCACCGGGACGCTCGCGGTGCTAAAGATATGTCCGCTGACGGATGCG